TGCACTTTTGTACCCAAAGGAAATTTAGATGCATCTGGAAATTTAGATGCATCCCTTAAATATGAAAAATGGTGGTAAGCTGTCTCCTGCTGCATTAACAGTTATGTTGTTAGTGTGCCACGTTCACCAATAGTTAACTTTTGTACCTCATGAGAACCCTTTAATGCTATTACCTTAACAGAGACATTTGGCACAGATGAAAGGCCAGTTTCATCACAGTTATAAATCAAATTTGGATAATTTTTTATGTCAAGCTGTTCATAAAAAGGTTGTAAATCGTTAAAAAATGTCTGAACGCGATTCTCATTAAATGCTTCTGCTCTTGCTCGAGAAAGCCCTTCAGGAATTCTTAGTGTCAACTGATTATGCCTTTTTCGGAATGAGAGAAACCAATCACGTGATGCCAAACATTTATTATGCCAACTTTTTGGAATGGACTTCTGAAATAAATGACGTCTACACAAGCTTTTGGCATAGAAACAAGCCAAAAGCTTGTGTTGCCCTCATTTGAGCATGTGCTAACAATCATTACGTGACGATTCCAAAGGCAAAAACATAGTAACTTAAATTATTATTTAAAAACTACTGACATCAATCAATCAAAAAATATATACTTTGTGGTCAAAACATTGCGTATTTTGATAATTTTTTGACGATAGGCATTTAAGCAGAAAAATATTTTTTCAACTTCAATGTTTATTTGCAATATTTAAAGAATAATCGGAGGTAAATATATAAAACATTTATTTAGTAATATTCTACAAATATCAGTTGAAAAAGTTTCGAAAAAACCTAGATAATAGATTTCTTAGTTTTTATGCATTATTATTTTAAAGCTGAGTCGCATAAGTGACGGATTCGCTCCGTGACGAATTCACCCCGCCTTACCCTACATAAATTGGTCTAATTCATCTTTCATCAATTCATCATTTATAGGAGCGATTAGGGTAGACTTTGTTTAGCTAGCAACGCCCAAAGTAACCTTTTTTTTCTTCAAGATAATTTATCATCACCTCAAAAACCAATTTTTTGTAAAGGCGCCTATGATGGCATGCTTAACTTTGAAGCTTCATTATTCAGTATCCTGAAGACCAATAATAAAAGTTTTGATATGGATAACCCTTGGAATTTTTAACAGTTTTGCTATATTTGTGTTACTCCTATTTAAAAAAAAGCACAAGTATGCCATCATAGGCAATTGCTGCTCCTATGATGGCATAGGGGAGAATGGGACTGGTTAGAACAAGGAGTAACTTGATAATTTCCTTTAACTACAGATTCTTTCCTCAGAAAAGCCAGAAATTAATCGGAATCATCCTAATTTACCATTTCAGGCTACACAGCAGCATTGTAAAGTTTCGCGCATGCGCATAGCATTAATTGCGTCTTATGACCAAAAAAAAAAAAATTTTGGTGCATCGCTTTCTTTTTACTTTACTTAAAAATAAGTTTTTCCTATAAAAAAAAAGGTTTTCCCAACTCGTCAATATTGCAACATATCCAACTCGTCAGTATGCCATCATGGAAAGAAGTCATCATTTTCATTAAAACAAGCTGTGTCTGCCTTGTTCAAAAGATAAAATCGATTTTTCTTGATTATAAAAACAATATTTGTGCAAAAGAGACTTGTTTTTACTAACACTAATGTGAAGTCAGTATTATTCATGTAGGTCTAATCACTTTTTCACCAAAAGCAATTTTTATGGAAATATGATTGGTATGCCATCATAGGCGCCTTTCCCCTTCATTTAGTCATGGTATAAAAAATAAACACTGTTAAGTCTTAAATGGCTTTTTGGTAACTTTTTGTGATATTTTAAACTCCTTGCAGCGAAAGTTTGTAGAATGCTGTGTATCAACAGTAGTGTAAACTTTTTAAGTTTTTTTTTTTTTTAAGTTTTTTTTTTTACAATGATAAATTGATATAAAAGTAAAAAAGTTTAAAAGATTTACTATATATATTTAAAAAAAAGTATTTAGAGGAAACCAACCGGCACATCTAGTTTCTGATTCACAATTAAAGCCTGTATAGACACGTGTTTGTCACAATCATTGCGTAAACCAAAAGCACGAGTATATTACAGGCAGTTTTACTCGAGTTTAACACGTGTTTTTTGATGTTTTAAAATCAAATTTAAATCTCGCATGGTTTTATCAGTGGTTTTACATTCTTTACGGAAAGTTACTACAATATAATACAACATTTCCGTAACGGTGAAACCATTAATATTTTAATTGGTATTTATGGTAAATAGTAATAGTTAATTTCACGGACTGAAAACCATTTTTGACATGTGTTATTCTTTTTGTTTTAGAAGTTTTTAAACACGCAACAGAAACCAAGCGTAACTTTTTTCTGAGTTGTACCGGCTGGGATGTTACCAATTAAAGTATAGACAATTTTATTCAAACTTCTGCTTTCAACTAAAAAGGAAGTGCAAGTCAAAAAAAAATTGCAAGATAATGCTGAGTTTTATCATCTAGAAAAAAACTTGTAGGATAAATTACAGAAGATAATTAAAATATAATTATAAAAAGTAATTACAAAAGTTTTAAAAACAATGTTTAATGATTGTAAATGTAGTAAATGTTATTCATTACATGGTAGAAACTTATTGCTAAAAGACAATTTATAAATAAAAATGGGTTCTCATATGAGTTACAGTTATTATTTGATATGTGTAAGTTCTTCGCAAACTTTAATACAACTCTTTCAAACTTTAAACCAATTTTAACTTCTGGAAAACTTGTTGCTGCTGTAAAGTTGAATGCTTTTGTGGCTTTTAGAGAATTTGGTAAATGTCATGAATCTTTGTGTTCTTTTACATCATTTATGAATATGCCACCAAGTTTTGTCCAATGTCATATACTGTTTGTGGAAGTCTGATAAACTAACAAACTTATTTAAATAAAAAACAAAACTTGGCTTTTAATTAGCTATTCAAAAAAAATTTTAAAACCAATTTTCAAAAATTTATCTAATCAAGATTTACTAAAAAAGTGTCTTTGGAGTAAAATACAAAACAGTGATGAAAGCTTGAATGGTGTTATTTGGAAAAGATGTCCTAAGGATATATATATATATATATATATATATATATATATATATATATATATATATATATATATATATATATATATATATATATATATATATATATATATATATATATATATATATATATATATATATATATATATAATTGTATCAATAAAAGGTTTTTAAAATTATCATTGAATTCTATTATTAATCTTTCAATAATGGTTTTCAAGGATTAATTGTTTTAAAAGCTTGAGGCGTAAATAATGAACACTTTATGAATAAACCTACTAAGTTAAACGGTTGCGTATCAAATGCAAAGTATAAAAAAAAATAAAACAACAAAAGCGAAAGCTGAGAGGAATTCAAAAATAATTCTTGGATAAATAGCAGAAGAAAAACCAGTTCTTTTTTATGAATGTGGAACATTCTATTTGTAATTTTATTATTGTTTTTTGATTATCTCTATTTAGATTTATAGCAAATCTGATAAAGTTAAAAAAGGATATCTCCAGGTTTATTCTTTTTCTTCGAAATTTTTGAAAAAAAAGAATAAACCTGGAGATATCCTTTTTTTATCTAAAATACATTGGAAGAAGACTGGTAGCAGAATAAATATTTTTGCTTCATTATAAGTTTTGATTTTTGTCCTTACCCAACAAGACCTACCCTGTAATACTAGAAACTATTATGTCTACAAACTATTATGTCTACAACTTTGGAAATATATCAATAAAATAGATAAAACTGCTAGGGTACCGAATTTGACATATAAGAGGCTGAAATACCAAAGGGCATTAAAAAGGATGTTTACAGCTCTCGAAATAATTTTTTAAAGCTTGCCGATTAAATGTAATTTTTTCACAAAAACAGGTTATTTTCCCTTGAATTTTTTGAAATTTTCAACAATCATTAATCGTGATCGGCCGTTATTTCGAGCACTCTAAGAAATCCTTTTTTTAAACAACAAACTAAAATAGAAGAAATGTTGAATAAGCAAGGCAATTTTTTTTTAATGCTAATTGAAAGTAAAATACAACATAAGCAGACTAATTTGAAAAATGAAAATTAATTATTAAAGAAATTCATTTGAATTAGGGTTGACCACCTTAAAAGAAAGTAGTCGAATACGATAAATCGTGCTGCAGATAGTTTATGTTTGTTCGACACAATTTATTACTGGTGGGTTGCTTTTAATTTGCATCTTAATTTAGTACTGATTAATGAATATAAGTACTTTTTATACCCTAAAAAAACCAAAATAACATGTAGACAACAATGTATGACGTCATTTTATTTAAACAGAGATCTAAAAGTTTGTGAAATTAAAGTAAAATCACCTAAAAGACTTTTGCAGACATTCGCTGTTTCTTTTGATTAAATTTAAAGTAATTGTAAGACATAAAGTTATTGTTAAATAATGTTTTCTTGAATTGTGTATAAGAAAGAATAGTTTGTTTTCCCCCAATTCAATATGGTTACTTTTGATTCCGCGATATAGTCGCGTGATTCCGATTGGATGGATAAGATTTTTTAATTTCCTTGAATTCGCTGGTTTTTTTCTAATTAAAGTGCGCAATTCATAAACAATCTTAAATCTGGTCGATGCACAGCAGTGCAAAACCTTAAAAAATTTGCCATAATTCAAAATTTTTCTAAGGATTGTAAAATGATTATTATTATTTTTTAAATACTGCTTATAATATCTTAAAATATATAGATTTTTTATTTATGTTTATTAACAAGAACGTTAACTCTAACTTGTTTTAATGCGAACACGATTCAAATTTAAGTTAACCAGTTAAGGTTGTTTTAGGCATTTTAATTATTACGATCCTTAAATATGGTAAAAATTAAGAAACAAATAAGAACATAACCTGACTCTATTAATTTATGCTAGTTTTCGGTATACACAAAAAACATATATAAATATAAAAAGAAGAAACAAAGATTACGCTACTTTTTCTTCAAAGTGGTAAGACACTGCTGTTGTGTTTTGAGTTAACAAAAAAATTTCAAAAATTTCACAACCTTTTCAATCAAATTTCAAACCATGCTTTAATGTTAAAATTCAAAAAGCGCTTTGTGAATACTTTAGTTAAATCCTGATACAACGGCGTACGTTTGCAACCAATCAAATAACTGCTGCAGATGTTGCAAAGTATAGTTTACATTGTAGAGTTTATTTTTAAACGAATCAGATTGCCTTTTCAATTTTTTTCTATTCCTGCTAAGTATGATTTACATTATAAAGTTTTGTAAAATAATTTTTTCATCCTCTGCAAATCATAGTTTTCACTGTAAACTTTTCTTTTAAATACATTTTCTAACAAAAATAAAAAGATCGCTAGTTTAATATGAGGCGGGTGGTAGACGTCAACAATTATATTTATTATTTTAATCCGTCGGTTGCAGCACTTGATTGGGTTTAGGACCGTCCCTGGATAACGCCTGAATTATCGACCGATAATAGGAAATACGCCAAAACCGAAATAAAACAAATATTTGGATATATTATTTCAATTCCGAAATTAATGGTTTTCGGTAATGTAAATTACCAAACCTAGTAGGTAAAAACAGAGCTGATTGGGATAGTGAGTTTGAAATGAGACGAAAACCCACTGAAGGTCTGAAGGTACTTATCATCATCAGATCCGCGACCTACCTTTCCCTTGCAAATATTAGATTTGACGTACTAGGGGTCACTAATGGAGTTTGTAAAATGCTTCTAAACCCAACGTTTTTGACGAGTTCTTTCCAATAATTAACTTATAACCTTAAATAAATATTAAATATAAAAAAATTACTAAAAGATAAATTTACAAAACAACAACTAAAAACTTATATCCACGAAATTTTATCATTGTTTAACTATTTAAGCGAAGATTTTTTTTTTTTTTTAAATATATATATATACATCAGTTCTGCAAGATATAAAATATTATGCGCACTGCAACGATTTGATTAGTTGCAGTTTTGATATTTTTAAAAAGCCGGTGGATATACTAAATAAAAACAATTAAACAATTAGTAAAAATTTAACGAGGTATAGCCTAAAATATTAATTCATTTTTTCTTTTTTTGTTTTTTCTTTCTAAAAACTAAATTCTTCGTAAACCTGTTCTAAGACTGCGTCAAATTGTACACAAAACGTGCTTTAAACTTTTTTTCAGAATGCAGGTGAAAACGCAAAGAAAGTTTTTCAATAAATGTCTTCAATAAAAGTCTTGAACTTTGCGACTATAAAGACGTTCTAATGCAAAAGCTTGATATAATAGGGAGGAATGCATTTAAGTCACTCTTCAATGTTTCCAAACACAGCAAAAATTATATTCATTCTTCGTTTTACATCTATATATATATATATATATATATATATATATATATATATATATATATATATATATATATATATATATATATATATATATATATATATATATATATATATATATATATATATATATATATATATATATATATATATATATATATATATATATATATATATATATATATATATATATATATATATATATATATATATATATATATATATAAATGTAACTTGGAAACCTAAAATAGTCTTTGCATGGAACGACAATTTGCTGGTTAAGTACCCAGCTGCGTGTCACATGATAGCTCCGAAAATATTTATCCTCAAAAATGTCACCGAAATATTTTACAACCGAGCAATTTAGAACCAAAAAGTTTTTCATTGCAGGATCGAATTACAAAATCCTTTCTTGCGCCGAAAGTTTTAAAACTGAATTTTACAACCGAAAAAATTTGGCTCGAATTATTAATTCTTGATATGTTTTTTGAACACTTTAAGACTTTTTGCGGACATAGCCTCATGATTTAGAGTGTTCCAGATTATGATACCAGATCATTATGGAGCCTTTAGGAGTTAGAACGATGAATTATTAAAAAAATGAATTTTTTGCTGCAATGGAGTTCTAGCAAAATTCGTAAGATTTTTTATAGTAAATAGATTTTTCATAAAAAATGGATTTAGACAATAGATTTAAAAGTTTCATTTATGACTTTCCATTGATAATTCGATCGAAAGTTTTTTGGTTCTAAATACATTTATGACTTTCGATCGAAAATTCGGTTGAAATTATTTAGGTTCTAATTTTTTTCGTGAATAATTTCGGTTGTGTAATAAATTTCTCATATTCGGTTTTAAATTTAAATTTAGGATTCGGTTAAATCATAGGACACACCCATTCGGCACATCTAGTTTCACTTTCGGAAATAAAACCTGTATAGACACGTGTTTGTCGCGATCCGGGCGTAAACAAAAAACACGTTTATTTCTCGAATTTTACAAGAGTTTAGCACGTGTTTATTGAGATTTTAAATTCATATTTAAATGTCACGTGGTTGTATCAATGTTATCATATTCTTTACGGAAAATTAGTATTATACTCACCGCCACACAGTGGGCCGGGTATTAGACATATGGTGGACAAAATTATTTTGATCTTTTTTTATTTTACTAAAACCCTTTATATGTCTAAAGAATCACTTTGTATTAAGATTAGTATGCAAATTTTCCAGTAAAATTTGATTCAAAATTTAATATAATATATATAATAGTGCTGTACACTTAAAGAGTGATGAGTCCAAACTACGTAGAGTAACTTAAACAGCTGTAACACACTAACATACAAACATAATAAAAGTTAGTATTTAAAATGTTCATCCAATTTTTTTTTGAACTGGTTGATACTGACTGCGTCTATTGTTTCTCGTTCAAGATTGTTCCAGTCGTTTACTACTCTATTTGTGAAAAAATTATGTCGTTTTATATTTCCTGTATATTGCCTTCTCAGTTGACTATTGTGACCTCTAGTTTTATATCCGTTATCTAGCATTTCGGGTTTTGTGTAAAAATTTATAATATCGTACCCTTTCAAATATTTCAACATTTGTATCAAATCACCACTTCTTCTTCTGTTCTCCAACGATAGTAAATCCAACTTCTTTAACCTCTCTTCATAACTGCATCCTTTCAAAATTTTAATTCTAGAAGCTCTTTGTTGGACACACTCTAGTTTATCTTTATCATACTGACGATAAGGATTCCAGATAGGAGCTGCGTATTCCAAATGTGGACGTACTAAGGCTATAAACAAGAGTTTCATTGTTTTTTTGTCTAAATATTTAAAAGTGTGTTTGATCTGACCTAGCTTTTGATTTGCTTTATTTACTGCTTTATTTACATGGTGTTTCATCTGAAATGTACACTCCTAAATCCTTTTCCATGCTTGTGTAGGCTAAAGCTGTATTATTCATTAAAACTTTGTGCTGGCTATTTCCTATTATCATAACTTTACATTTTTGCTGGTTGAATTTCATCAACCACTTTTTCGGCCATTCCATTAATAAGTTTATATCTTTTTGAAGTTCAATAACATCATTATCGTTTTTTATTGCTCTAAGGATTTTCATGTCGTCAGCAAATAGTTTACAGCTTGATTTTATTTTGTTGGAGATATCATTAATATACACTACAAATAATAGTGGTCCTAGCACTGATCCTTGTGGTACTCCACTCATGACCTTTTCCCATTCTGATTTATTATTTCCTATCACCACCCTTTGAAATCTGTTCTTCAAAAATCCCTGGCACCAGTCAAAAAGTTTTGATTTAAAACCAAGAGCATTTAATTTTAACAATAATCTTTCGTGATCAACTGAATTAAACGCTTTGGCTAAATTCAGAAACAAAACTATTACATCCAAATCATTATCAATTGAACTTGTGATAATATCTAGAGATTCAAATAAGTTGGTCACACAACTTTTATTATTTACGAATCCATGTTGGTTTTTATTGATTAATTTATTTTTTACTAAATGTTTCATCATTTTATCTTTAATTATTTTTTAATGACTTTACAAACTACAGATGTTAAAGATACAGGTCTATAATTGCATGGGTTCAACTTGTCACCATTTTTAAATAGTGGGACGATATTTGCACACAACCATAATTTTGGAAGTTTACCCGTTTCAAATGATTTATTAAACAATAACGATATTGGTTTGGCTAAAGTAGATTTGCACTCTTTTAGAACTTTTGGATAAACTCTGTCCATTCCAGTTGCTTTATTAGTGTCCAGTTTGTTTAAGAATTCTTCAATAACAGAGACATTAAAATCTGGATTTTTATAGATTTTTTGTGTTTCTATATCTATTATTGGAGCAGATAAAGTTTGTGGTTTATTGAATACTGATGCAAAATACCCATTCAATGTATTTGTAATTACTTTTAAATCAGTTTCGATGCTACCATTTTCTAGTTGGATTGCTCTTATATTGTCTTTGACTTTACTTTTATTGTTAATATATGAATAAACTTTCTTGGGGTTGAACTTTGAACTTAAAGCAAGATCATATTCAAATTCTTTGATTCACTTTTTTTTTAAAACCTTGTTTAACTCTTTGTATTTTGCAAGTAAACAATTGTCTCTGAATTTCTGCCATCGACATTCGAACCAAACGTTTCTTTTTTCTTTTGACAGCGCTTTCAATTCTCTATTAATCCAGAGAGGTGTTGTGTTGATTTGAATGCTTCCTGGTTTTATGATTGGAATAAAGAGTTTACATCCTTCTTCATAAAGGCTTAACCATTTTTCGTAACATTTGTTTACTTTTTATTTACCGGTAAAATTTACCGGTAAATTTACCGGAAATTTTAATTAGAGAACGGTAAATTTTCCTTTAAAAAATAGAAAAAAAAAAAAATGTGAAAAAAAATTTTAAAATTTACCAGGCGGTAAATTTTCAAAATTTTCCGGTAAATTTACCGGAAAACTTTCCGGTAAATTTTACCTTCGCAACACTAATTAAGATATATTTACTTTTATTATAAATTTTAGTTAAATAATTGCTTATACTAAAAATTATTTAACAAATTTTTTAAAACTTTAAAAACGCGGATTTATAATTTTTTTTAATTTCAGATCCTATAACTTCTTAATATTGTGGAACTAAATAACAAACTCTTCTGGTGGAACAAACTTAAAAAAATATTGATGCAACAAACTTTAAAAATAAAAATGCGTTTGTACGAAAGAAATAAAAATTTATCA